GATTCTACAAGCCATCAAAAAAGAGCTATTACCGGAAGTGACGTCTATTGATAGCAACCTATTGAATGTCTTGACATGCGCATTAGATTTTTGTGGAATGTTTTCCGTTCATCTCAAAGCAGTTAATTTCTCTCTCCGACCGATGAATTGAATTGAATCGAATTTTTTTCCCTTGGATTCGGCATTTAAAGAGAATACTCTTGATTGCCGATCTGTAGTCTGTAAGGATAGCGATGTACAAAACAGGTAAAATGGCACAATGAAGTCGTGCTACGACAAAGCTTGACCGCGCGAGCCAGGCTTTTGCTTGACAGGTACAACTGCTACACAGTTCTGCTATTATGACCATAATCAGAGCAGGAATATAGCACCCGAGAGAGAACACTAGTAACCAGGAATGGTTTTGACTTATGTAGGCCTCTTGGCTGACTATGTTTAAGTGACCTCTTTCTCGTAGAGCTTCAAGCTTCGATAAAATCCATACAAAGGTATAAACAAGTGCAAGTGTGATGAAGAAAACCCCAGCTGTTGAATGGACTATACAATATCTACTTAAACCGGTATTAAAGTAGAGAAAAGGATAGCTTACTGAAATCATCCATCCTAAACCAGTGGCGAGTAATGTTCGATTGAATGTGACGCACACCATGCACCAACCCGGAACCGACACGAAGAGATATCGATTGACCGTGATTCCGACCAGGGTCAAAAGCGTTAACATTGATGACATGAAGGATACAAGGATAGCAAACTGTAAGAACGGAGCGTCATGAGGTACATGATCATCAACAGTGTTTATCGTTGTTACGCTGAAATAAATAAAAAGTGGCTCAGCGGTAATCCCTACCAAAAGAGCACTCGTTGCCATGGTGACGAGAAGAGCTGAGACAGATGTATGAAATCTTTTTTGTGGGTTTTTAACGACAATAAGAAACACCAACAATCCTCCAATGACTGAGGAGATGCAAGAGAGAATGGACGACACAAGTTCAAAGTACAATAGCTCCATCCAGTCGGTTTCGTAGGCTGATTCGTTGCACGAAATTTGCTCCATCGTCAGTTGAAGTTCATGAAGTCGGTCTTTGTCGACTGGATCCGAACGACGAGCTTACGTCTCACTCCCAGACTATGGATAAAGAAAAAATTTGGACATACTCATGTTTAACAAATTTATGTTTCTGAATTAACGACGAACTAATACTCAATTCCTAAATGGAATCCAAAATAAGATCCGTTTTTAGAGACTTCGTTCTTGAAACGAGAGAGCAAAAGGTGGGAAGCGCTTTCGCGAGTATATCGTGTTATTACGTCAAGATCTTCCCAACAATGACGTTTCTAACACCAATACCTCGGGTTTAATAGGATTTTCGGAATTAAAGGCTTTTAGTCGTACTGTCGATCTCTTAATGTGCCAAAGGGTTCGCTTCATAATTAGAATGCTTTTAATACAAGACCAATTTGAACAGGAGAAAGCATTTTTGGACTTAATGGCAATTACATAATCCTCTTAAGGAAGCGAATTGCCAGGCGATGGTTGGTCAGAAGGATATCGAAAATGAGTGACAAGTTTCTCCTCTTTATTCGCAAACCATCGAGAAAAACTCCTGAAATACAGTACATATGTATGTCTGTGCTTTTTTTTACTCCTGGCTTAATAAATAAAAATGAAATATTTACAGGATTCTGTTGATATTCTCCCCCATATCTATTTTAGTGTTAGGCGGAGTTTCAAAGCCATTTTTTTTAAAGCAGTGAAAGCCAAAATATAAAAGCAATATATATCGATGCCCGACCAGATCAATTAGGAACGGACTGTAAATTAAATATTAAAAAACATTTTTCCTTGCGATAATTCTTCATAAATAGAGAACAAAAATAAAAATAAGAGTTAAATGAAAGCACTTTGAATTTTTGCCGAGTCCATGAACAAATCGCCTCAGGATACCTTATGGTGATGAAGAACGTAGTGGGAGATTGTTGTTCACAATATAGTGCCTTTGATTAAAACACTCGGTGCCAAGATAGAAGAACAATCTCGATGGATGAACAATATAAACTTTTTGTTTTTAATCATAAAACAAATCACTTTTGAAGTGATATTTCAAATGCTTTTTTCCTGGTTTATGATGAATAAAAGCTTTCAAACGGCGTTGACTTCAAAATGTTGATCATTTGGTCAATATACTAGCGAGTCACTCTGACACCATTTCTCGCCATAYGTGCACTTTGAGTTAGATTTCTCACGGAATCGTATCTTATTGGAAAMTTTTTTTTTGCCTTTTAAAAATGCACCAAAACTCAAAAGCTCATTTATAATGAATAACAGAGAGCGAGGCAGTTTTCTATTTCAACATAACAATCAATTTACCTTATATGACGAAAAGGAGTTCCCTTGTTCGGCGACTGTCGCTTTGTAAATTTAAGAATTATTCAAATGCTCTCTTCTGTCAAGTTCGAATCCTTCCACTTTAAACCAGCTTTATATAAAAACGACATGCAATAAACAGATACAATAATCGGAAAAAAGGTCTTCATTTGTTTTTCTCTGTCAGCAACACGTACAGTGACTGATCTTCATATCTAGCTGAAGCTAGACGTTCTGATTAAAATGCGATAATTTGACATCCGACAACCTCTTTGTTATAATTATTCATCTATTAATTTAGGACAGAATTTCATATTCAGTGAACAACGTTAATTTCTCTTGTATCATTAACGTAAGTTTTCCAAGTCCATATTTATTTGCGGCTGATGTTTTGGATCGATCCGGCATATTTTCCCAGTTTTTCGCTTCTYTTTTATTATAATAGCTAAACTAAACTGTCTAAAAATGCACTTGAAGYTATATATTGTCTCTGGTGAAAACCACAATATGGTTTAGCAATATAGATATCGACTCTCGTGTTTCCAGGTGAGAACCACTTCAAGACACACTGCCCCTAAATTCGTATCTAATAGCAGATCAAAACGCCAGACTATAGTGTCTCTCGTCCAAGCTTCAAACTTCTGCAATGTTGTTAGACCGAGTAACTGGCATTTTCAAGAGAATTTGCGTCAAACATCGAGCGATAAGAACTTAATTATAACAGCAAGATAGATTGAGGTGATTTTTTTGATATCAAGTTTTCATTTCGTTGTATTTTATCTTGCATTAGCGTTAATTTGAATGCTTCTGTTTTTTTTATTTCTATATTTACATATCGAGAAAGAGAAAGGATGGAGAGTCGACATGGGAGAATAAGAGGGAGGGAAAAAGAAAGAGAGAGGGAGAGTTGAATAGAAGGTAGGATCAAGAGAACGAGTGCAAGAAGAGGGAAAAGATAAAGGAAGAAGATTGGAGAGAGGAAGTGAGAGAGAAATAGCGGAAGGGAAAAATAGAGAGATGAAAGGAAAGGAAAAGGAAGGAGAGAAGTGAATATAGGAGGGCGAAGGARAAAGGGTAATAATAAATCAACAACTGTTCCACTATCGAATCCRATTACCGCTTTATCCGCAATAAATATGCCAAAAAGTAACATAACCTTTAAAACGTGCTCGTAATCATGTATGCATCAAACCAGCTGCAAAAGTAAAACCATTTATAAAAATCCATTTAGCGGCAGACATGCGGCCGGGAGCAGTCATCTAAAGACTGCCGGTTTGTTAAATTTACCATGTGAAATATTCGCTAATCTTTTTGCTTTAAGTAAACATACCCTGTGTTATGGATGGGCCAATTTACTTTTTGAATCTAAAGCCATACACATGCAATGCAGAATGACAAATGGGGGACTTAGCCGACTATGTAGTGCAGTTTTCGTATGACTGTGAAAAGCTCAGTGCCGTAAGCGTGACGTGCCGTGACCGTGATGCTATCTAGAATTTTAATTGGCTGATTTTTTTCACGCGCAATATGAGTGGTCTAAAAGTGTCGTGATCTTGGCGTRACCGTGTCTGCGCCGTGTTTGTGCCGTGTTCCGGGTATTTGATTGGATGGAGAGTAAATTCTCGTGCAATGTGATTTGTCTGGCGTATCCCTTGCTGTGTCACGACCGTGTTCGTGCCATGAACTTTKCACAGTCATATGAAAACTGCACTTTATTGTGTCAAGTACTTATTGCGTAATTATAAATAATTTTTTTTAGTAAAAATTGAGCGCCGTTCCTTTTATAAGTTAAACATGTACAATGTTAATGGATTCCTTATTTCTTGATATTTAATTGATTGACACGGGAAGCCAGTTTAGTGCCTTCATGAAATTGCTTTTATTCCAGCCACTCTGTCGACAGAATGAGTGGTATTCTTTTGTTGCATTGTTCATTTTTTCCGATAGAAAGTGTTAATCGGACTGACTTACAAGCTTGTTTGGTTTGCAATTTCAAAGTTACTGCAGTTTCACAAAAGAACATAGTTATCTTTCAACTTTCACCGCATCAGAAAACGGAAATGATGATGAAAAAAGAAAGGATAGTTCATGTCATGTTACCATATTCCATTAACCTGCTGTGTGAAGCCTATTCATTTAGCTTTTTCTCTTTCTATTTCTCTCTTTTTCTTTTACTCCGACGAAGGACTATCTTCCGAAACGTCAGTAAGTGTTTTCATCTTTTCACGGGTGTATAATTTACCTTTTCATCATTACTGTTTCATTAGAAACACCGACGCAGCTCACACTAGTTCTTAGCTAGTTATATCTTCCTATTCATTTAGCTTCATTTGTACTTTTATGAAGTGTCTTAATAACATTTTGCCAGCTCATTTGCTCAATTAGATACCCAACGCTCGACTCAAAGGTATGCCGATAGATACTCAGTTCTAATAGCTCAATCCAAATGACGTTACTAAGTGGTAGCTGAGTTATTACTTRAAGAAAACCTTCAATTTTCATGTCAACATCTCAGAAACAGTAATCAACTCTTACTTAAGCTTGCATCATAATTTAAAGTTTTAGTGTGATTAACTTGTTTCCTAGCAACGGTATGGTGTTTCTTAGCAACCGCTAGTTGGTAGCAATTAGGAGAGACAATATATACAAAAACAAAACACGAAATACGACCTCAAATCAAGCTAAATTTAGTTGAGAGATCCAGTAAGGAAAAAGTTGATAAATTCGTACAAGGTTTTGGTAAATGTTCTAATAAACAACACAAACAACACAATGAAGTACCCGAAAAGAAATTTCACTCCCAAAATCATGTTCAGTTTTCCATCTATCCTACAAGTTTGAAATAATTTTCCATTGAACTATAGTTTCTGCAACAAACACTATTTGAATTGAAATTATCATCAGTAGATAAAAAGGTGCATGATTATTAGCCTCATTTTTTAAAAGTCCAGTGCTTTGTTAGGCAAATAACGATCTGTAATTCTGGCTCTTAAATTTCTTCACAAAGAAATTAAGTAAATAAATAAATATGATAATTCAAGCAGTTTTATCTCGCCGCTGAGTACCACAGGCAGCCCAGTACAGAAAAGWAAGGCGAAGACAAGTTAAGATGTAAACCAAATGATCACAAGAGAATATTTTCGTATGAGTGAGAAACGAGTACTGTAGCTGTACGTATCTTATGTACGTTGCTGTAACTACGCGTTGTGATTGGATGAATTACTRGAAGACAATGGAAAGCCATTTCAATGTTACATGTTGTACCGTATACGTGGTTTCTGAGTAATTGTTTGCTTATACTTAATATTTAAATTTCAAAGTATTTTACTTTTGATTCGCAATCGCCTGTTTCACCATTCCATTACGGAAGGACTATTCTAGTAGTAACTGAATTTGTTGAATTTCGTTATTGAGAATGAAAGATTGACCAACCTATCAAATTGTCTAATTCTTTATACAAAATGTAACCGAAACAGGTTGGGTTGAAAGTAAAACCATTCAGTTGAATTGATCAAATAACGTAAAGCCCATAATAAAGAAACTAAGTATTCCGTTATCRCTCCGAAAGACATCCTTTACGCCAAACAAACTGATCTATCACCACGTAAACTACCGAGATGTCAGGTAATAAATGTCAATAACATCCAATAAGACTATTGCCATATTAGAAAATAATTTTCATTCATCTTTAAGTCCGAGCATTTTGTCAACATTGATTTTATATCAGATGCTTCCATAGATCTATAAAATATGGAAAATACCAGACTTCGTACAATATATAATACCATTGATTAATACCAGTGGACAGTCCAATACATTCATTGAGTAGATATATATCTGTCACGCGATCGTATAGTTGGTCCATAAAAGATTCGCGAACGATTTGTGTTATTCATAATGATATTATTTGGATCAAGAAATCAATACAAAGTGAGGCCGTATATCATGATAACTAAGCGATATTTTAACTGCATTTTGTTTTCTTGTAAGAAACTTTTTATTTCAGTATTACTCCACAAATATTTAAAAGTCCTTGACAKAAACGATTAGGCTTGGCTGCGCTTTGTCTCGCAGGGACTAAGCAACGCTCAGTTATATTTGAAGATAACAAGATATAAGAAATCTTATGCGCATAATGTGGGATTCGAACCCAAGTCCAGCAACAGAAATTCCAAATGTGTCATAGCCTCGAGACATCTGCAGAGCTGACGCGTCGCGTGGACTTCGGTCCTGACGGCAATCAAGGTCGATCAGCATTTGACCGGTACGGTTTACCTAGAATAATGTTGTAGCCCGAAGTCCTCAGGGGAGATACCATGGCCACCAGACCATACATACAGYTAATCCTTAGCATCATTTTCCTGGAACGGAACCGGTTATTTTCACGACTTTTGTTATGCTAATTTCATGGAACCGTGGCCCAGAGGRAAAAAACCTGGGCCACAAGACGCTAAGTCAAGCCCAGTTGCATGAGTGGGAGAATAGGGGCGGCTTGAACGCACTCTCAAACCCAAGCTTTACATGAATGTTATTACAGTCAGTCTAACTAAAGTCTTTTGGTTTAATTAAGGAGGACAGCTAAATAACACCGCCTTGGCTATTATCTTCTTTACCTTGTATTTTGGGATCCTGATCCTGGTACTTTTGGCCGCATATTATTTCAGCATAAAAGTCAACACTTCCTTTACGCTGTATGTAGACAGTTATACCTTCTTCAACATACTCTCCGACAAACCAGACATCGAGTTGAATACGTTTAAATGGACGCCAAAAGGGAAATCAAGATAAAGTTTATTTCTATTTCAATACATGGACCTAATATTTTCTCATCTTTAGATCACGTGTTATTTTCTTGAGAATGAAGATCCTTTGTTTGAGTTGTATCCATATTTATGTGTCTTCTCATGTATTCTCATTAAACAAAGAAACGATACAAGGGAATGACATGTGGTCTGAAATGGCAAAACCAGTGGATTTAAGGTCTATTTGATTTCACTGTGTTGTCAACAAAACATCAGTAGAGGGGTTCAGTCTTCATGAATACATTTTCCAGTTAGGGAAATAAAATTCCTTGTCATGCAAAAACATTGAATTCGGTTCCTGTCCTCCAACATGGCTGCCATGAAACCCCCTTTTTGGTCATGTGACAAAGACCAAATGTCATAARAATCATTTCGGACTCCATCCATCCACCTCGTGTCTTTCTCAGTCACGTAGTCAAATTAATAAGGGACTCACATGATTATGACTCCACTGTCTTTCTTCACCATTTCACTTCCTTTCGTGACTAGTAAGGTGCTTAAATCAGCAAGTTGATATATAAAAACATTCTAAATAGTTTAACGCTTAGTTACTATGTTGGCAGGAACATTGAACAAGATGAGGAGACCGCTGAACACAATGTACCAGGAACAAGTTCCAGACTGAATAGCTCTACTCCTGATCCTATCGCTGAACCAGAATATGCAGAAGTTAAAAACGTCTTTGAAGAACCCAAACCTCAGCCAATTCTAGCAGAGCCCGAGTATGCCATGGTTGATAAAGCAAAGAAGGTATGTTGGGTTACCTGTGTCAAACGATAAAATAACGTCATCAATTTTCCCGAACGTTACTTGCTTTCCCAAACAGAATGTGCCAAATTAAAAAAATATTGCCTAAGATCATTTTTATTTACATTCGTTAATATTTTATTTCTTYGACAATAATAAAATCGTACATTTGACTGTTATTTTCAGAAATCAAAGAAAAAGACGAGCACTGTAAGTACCGGTCTTGGAACACGTTCTTTGGCACAAGACACCGAAATATCGGAGTACGCTACCGTCCAATTCTGATTCCAATCCTTTTCCTGGTTCTCTGTTTTGTATTAGCGGAAATTACGGCGACAATTAGCAAAGGAAYCGAGCTGCAGAATGAATGACACGCTGTAAATATAATAAATACAGCTACWTGATTAATAGCGGGTCCGTTAGCTCAGTCGGCAGAGCGTGGTGCTAATAACGCTAAGGTCATGGGTTCGAGCCCCATAYGGACCAGTCTATATTTTTTGGCTTTCRATATTTCGTTTTTCGCTTCAAATCATTTTCTTTCTTTTCATTAAGTTAAGTAATGCCTAATGCACACCTATTTATCCCAATTTTGTCTGGGAATTAAGAAAAGAAATAAATTTGAAAAATGGTTTAAGATCTCTTCAAGTTGTCGAAATTAAAACTAAATATTTGCATTTAAAGAATTTGAATTATTTTTTTTTTATGCAACACTTTTATSTTAATTCATTATGTTTATACGTATTTTACTAATATATTGCCTATATTTAGATACACAGCTTATTAATATCGTATATATTTCACAGGGAACCCACTTGATTTTTTTAAAAGTTTATTTGGAGGATCAAATTTTGTTATTTTCAGAAACAGATTTGTGCGAAAAAACTATTTTTCAAAATTTATTTTATTATCTATTGTTTTTCAAGGAGATAGATCAGTGTTTTTTTTTTTAATATGAAAACGTTTGCCATGGTATTTTGATCCCGTCTCCAAAGYTTGAGGGGTCGAAGATCCATGTTGACATCATTCAGGATAACAAAGGCTTTTCTAATCCCAACTATCATCCTCCACCTTCACTTTGTCTTTCGGACCCAAACAAACCAGAAAACGTAAAAACCTTCTATGTAGTAATATTTCTTTCAAGTTCGCACTGGTAACACCCAAAGTTACAGGTCTATAATTGTCAAGCAGTCATATTCCTGTGTTTGTTACTGGAATGACCTGTCAAAAGTCTGGTACCTGCTAAACATGGAATCACTTTGCTCCGAAAAAATGATCAACAATGATAGTGTCATAGGGTCAAAAATAACACCTACACTTCTAATCACCCTGTAATTTTACTCCAAGAATTTGTTTGGAAAAAAGCAACCGATTTTCTTTTGTTCTGATTGTTTGAAGTTTGAACAGAAATGAGGGGTTTCTGTGCTGTTGTTGTTTTGGTGTGTGTCGTTGTGTGTTCCAATGCAGGTAAGATAGTCTTTAGAATTTGTATYTTTTTGTCTTATTTTTAAGCAAACTAGTCGAGAGTAACGAGACTATATAAGTTAAGAGTTGAGAAAGTAGAAATTTTTGCTATTTACTATTTGCATTATCTCTTTTGCTTTCATATCTTACTTGCCATCCTTAAGAGAAAAATTCAAGTTACATATGGGGACTAATTGAGGTCAAGAGATGTAAAATGTATCCAAACAAGAGAATATTACTTCATATTCTCTTGATCCAAAGAATCGTGAAAAAAATGCCTGTGGAAGAATAACGAGAAGAAAAAAGAGGAAAAAGAAACAAAAATATCAAGTGCTTTGCACTTGGAACAAAACGGATTAACTAAGGCTTAATACAGCTTTAAAAATTGGGAGAAAAGTAGAAATCACTTTCGGTGAAATGGTTCATTGAACACAATGACTGAATTCGACGTCTCATTGAATACTTAATAATTTGCACTTGACTTCAAGATTTATATTTGATAATAATCTTTTTACAGCTTCTATAAATCAACCTGGTCAGTCAAGAAATTTCATCCCTAATCGCTTTGACATTAAAGGAAGTAAGTAGTTGATGAAATAGATGTTAGTGATAATATTATTTCGAATTGCCTTTGGAATGAAATATGAGACAAACGAATGGAACAAGACTTGAGTCATGGAGTTTTGAAACCGAGCCGAAATTAATGTYTTACTTGGATTTTGCTCTATTTAATTTTTCTTCGAAAGTAGGAGCAAAAATTCATTAGCATACTGGACGAATAGGCGACTATAAATCGAGCATTCTGATTGGTTACTCTTATTAGAAAAAAATTAACACGGTCACAGGTACGTTGTCTGACGTTATACCTGGGTTTTGGCAAAATCCCCGCGTTTTTGGTCCTTTGCTATGAGTCTATCCAAAGAAACCATGGTCTCTTGGCCTATCACATCAGCTCGACATTTTTTGCAGTTGTATATACCTTATGAGCTGTAAAATAAATATGCAATAGACCATTTCGAAATAAGTTTAAAATTCTTTTTGATCRTCTTTTCCGGCGTCATCCCGCTGAACAAAAAGCTAGAGGACTCTGGGCACTAGAATGATTTTGCCCAGTCACCGCGCGACAAATTAGTGTCCAAACTCTTGCTCGTTACTATGAAAAGKGATAGCCTCTGTCGCTCCTAAGATTCCGTATTTCCTCTATAAGCCTCCAGCCTTTAACACCAGGCTAAGATRAACAATACAGAATACTAAAATAAACAATACAAATTATTTAAAACAGAAAATTTGTTAGTAGCTTACTYGTAATATCCAGGTGCTAGACTTGACAGTTGGCTTCTTCTAATAAGCCCCAGTCTGTGGCATGAAAAATTAGAAAAGCCCCCAGCCTCTAATAAGCCCCACCCAACTCCTAAGGAAAGTTGTGGTCCATTCCCCTTCGCAGGCTAGACCTCTGAAAGTAATTTTACCTTTCGAGATTATGGATAAAAGTACTATTTTCAATTCTTATTTTTCTTAGCTTTGATAAATAATGATGGTACCTTTAAGAGACAAGACGTATCAGGTGAGTGGGATTTAACCCGGTTATGGTACTACCATTACTAGCTGTAAAAGGTCTGATGAATTAGAGAAGGTTACCTGACGAAGGAAAATTAATGGCGGATCCAAGATGTGTGGGTACCGATCCTTTGAACCAAAATTCTAGATCCAACTCTGATTTAGCAAATCTTTGAAACTTCCTTTTTTGGGGGGAATGACAAATTTCTTATCAATACATTTTTGGTATCTTTTTTAAGATGAACCCGTGGCACAGCAATCCATGTTTGATCAGCTCGGTGAAGGACAGGAAGCAAACCTAGCCTATCAACAACCAGSAGCTTACCAAGGAGATCAGCAGCCTTTTCAAGATTACCAGAACCCTCAGGCCAACTTTTTAGCTCAACAGAACGACCAGAACGCTTATTACCAAAACTCTCAGCTAGCACCCGAACAAAATATGCAGGGATATGTAGACAGCGCGCCACAGAACGATGACTTGCACGGGCAAGAGGGAGAAGGGCAGATGTACAATGCTATGGCACAACAGGAATATCAACCTAACTATAATGACCAGACTCCACCAGAGGCCGAATTCCAGGCTGCACAGYCGTACTATAGCGAACAGCCACCACAAGAAGAACAACAACAGACAAAAGACGTTCGACCATCAACTCAGGATGACATCAAGGGATCTGACCGTGATACCATAGTAAGAACAACATTTGCTTACACGTTTTAGGATATTCCTTCCTTTCTACCTCCAAAAAGAAAACACGGTCGGCCCTATTTCAGTACAGGACAGGGAAGGATAAATTTTCGGTAAATTTCAAATCAATTTCATAATAATTTCAAAGTGTGGAGCCCTAAAAACATTTACTCGCGGGGAAAGTGAGGTATTACAGCTCGTCTTGCTCAGTTTAGCTGTTACTTTTAAAACTCTAGATTTTTTAACAAAATGTTTGCCATTTTCATTTTTTTTTTCAGGCAAAGAATAAAGAAAAGGCCAGGGAAAAAATTCTTGGCGCGACAAAGAAGTTCAAAATCCCAAAGAATCTTTCTCCCAAAGACCTGGAAGGAATGATAGGATACTCCAAACAGATTTATCTTCGGGGTGGCCATCAGTAAACCCTTAGGTACAACTATATAAGGATAACTCCAACTTCACAATCAATSCAAACAACAGTCTGTGTTTGGACTACATTAAAGTGACATTCTACGCCTCACAGAGGTGGTGTTGGTCTTGAGGATCATCCCCAAATTTTAATAGAGGCTTTGCACTATCAAGTGATGGCAGCCATGACAGGTCAGGCAGGAACAAGTAAATTYGGTCTAATCTATAATCTACATTAATCTTACATTAGAAAGAATTCAGTTTCCGAGGGAAAAAGACTCCATTGTCGTGCCTCCTGTCATGGCTGCCATCACGTGATGATGCAAAGACTCTATAGACAACAAATAATTCTTCYAAGTCAGGTTTTTTGATTGCTGGGATATTTTATATCGATTATTATAACTTTATGTGAGCAAAATATAATTCATTTTGCAATAACGAGCAATATAATTAAATAGACCATTATTACATTCTAACAAATAAAGAATAAAAATAATGACAGAAAGCCTTAACTGTATCCGAAAAAGATACGACACCAGGCCGAATGCTTTACGATAAGGTAATTAAACTTGGAAGCCAATCGAAGAAAGACTGGTACCAAGCTCAACCCGCTGGGATTTTTGGGATTGAATTTAGAGATGCAAGATGGCGGAACTTTTCGTATAATGATTACGATRTCAGCGAGCAAAATTATTATGATAGTCAGTGCCTTAGAAAACTATAGAATTGTCTAAATGATACCTACGTATTTCATTGGTTACATGAAACATTTCGTGTTTCTAAATATATCATGGCAACTGCTTGCACTGACAGCTTAACCGTGCAACCGAGCGGAGATGACGACAACATATAAAAATATATTTACAGATGATGTAAACTAAGTATCGTAAGGTTATAAGAGACTCCTTGATGGCGTTCTCTCTCAACCAATCAAAAATTAAGACGAGTACGCGCGAGAGCCATCCACAATCCTCCACTGCAAAAAACTTCAGTGTGTAGTACGAATCAAAAATCAAGATTGCAGTTTGATAGCTATGAATTATTTTCCATTTATGTTYGATACACAGAAAAATAGAAATATTTGTTCAACTCTTCCTAACTGTCTCTATGGGCTCCCTGTGTCCTTGAAGTTGTATTTTTAAATATAATCATTAAATATTCATAGGGCGTTAAGTGGTAAATCTCCGTACCTTCCATAAACAAAGCCAGTTTTGAAGCTCTATCTAGAACTAATTACTCGACACCTTCCAACATGTCTGATACAGTCTTATACGTGCAGCGATCCATTTCGTCACCAATCTCCGCGAAGATCTCCTCGGCCATCAGTCTCTGCTTTCCTTGTCCAGAAATGATGAGTTCGCCGAATAAATAAATCCCCATACCCTATGTTATGGGGAAAAATGAATTACAAAAAATTAATACCAAAAGAAGTTTGTGTACGTTAGTGCATATGCTCTATAATTTTTACCTGGTCTTCGATCAGAAAGTGCCTGACATCTTTAAGACCGGGAATAAACCTTAAAACGAAGAGAAAGAGTATTCAGGTTTACTTGTGTCTGAAGAAGGTAAGATAATATGTGATTTGTATTGAGAGGTCACGTGGTCATTTCCCGCCATTTCTGGAGTAGTCGCAACCTTTTAATTTGAATTAATTGCCATGCAACAAATTAGAATATCAGTTCGCTGCCGTTCAAATCAGTTTGCCAAACTACATTTGCCAATGGCGGGAAAACGTCACGTGACACTGATGAACCAAATTTTAACGATAATAAAAGAGATGAAGGACACTAAATGTAATGAGAAGAATAGAATTCTTGTTTTAACTCACTTGTGCTTAACCACGAGTTCACACCAGCGATGACGAATCTGAGAAAAGAAAGAAAAGAAAAAATATAGCAAAAACCCAAAAATTGTTCGGAGTAAACAGTTTGGAATCATCAATACAATCGATATCAAATCGTTGATACAAAGAAGTATTGTTAATACCTCGGCATTGAGAGCCTCGAACTGATAGCTCTTATTTAACTGTCTCAGCGTCGTGTGAAGCAGACCTTCTCGCTCCAAGAGCTTCTCCAGCATCAATACAATCTGCTCTGAAGTTTCCTGTTGATATGAATCGAATAAGAATGAAGAAATGGGATAAAGAAAATTGGAATAATTGATGAATGATGGAATGGGAGTCAAAGCAAGTACGTAATTGTCCAAACAGCATCCTTTTACTATGCTATGGTTGTTTCGACCAATCACAATCCACGACATTTTCATCGAATTTTGTAACAAATATTCAAGATGGCGGAGGGAAACATTTTTTGTGAGTAGAAAAAATAATGCTCCAAAAGTAAAGAAAAACTTTTTAGTAGAGGTTTTTTCTAGACAAAAACGTTATTGTCATGTTTAACAAATACCAAGACGTTAAAATAAATAGCAAAATAGCTCGTGTTGTTCTGCAACGTCATATTTTGAACGTGTTAATGGAGACAGTGTTTACGAATAGTCAAGGTAAGAATGACATTTTGGTGTTTTCCCTCCTTTAAAATCTTAAATATAAAGGTGAAAATAATAGCTAGTATTGTTCAAGTGATTTATATTTCGATAATTTCATACAGTATTGGATATATTTATYATCACATACTAGTTGAAAGTTCTCTGGCTCTTTGCGGTGTCTTGCATTCTTCGTCCTGTTTCTCTTGTTCGTTGTATCCTGTCGACGCCAAAACTCGAACTACAAAAAAAGAAATCATCAAAACAAGCTTTCAAAAACCTMTACATTTGGAAAAGATCAAATAAGAAATTGGTCAAGGAAAAATAAAGTAGAAGTTAAGTTAAGATTAAGTGAGAATTTGGTCAAAGAAAAAATATATATAAGTTAAAAATACCTCTTCCAAAGCTTGGTTGACAAGAACGTTTTCCTTGCTTGCGAACGATTTTCGCCTGAGACACTGAAGGCAAATAGAAAGGCATTTGGTTTATATATTTGACATTGTGTGAAACGAGTCAAAACTTTGGGATGCTTTTTGGGGAGGGGTGGGTACGGTTGGATTCCCAGTATTAGTTAATGACATCATAGCAGTATCGTACCTTTGGTATTCCTGGTCGTTCTAGCCATTCTTCCATTATACTCTCTACAGTTCTATTGCAAATAATATAGAGAATATTCATTCAGATATTCCAATGGGTTTTCCCTTTTGCGTGAATGATACCACTAATACCATGAAAAATTTTTTTCCTTTCAAATGTTTTAATTAACTTCTTTTGAAGTCACAACATAATGGTTTTAATAACCTCTATTAGCTTGGGCGTAATATTTTCCAATTCAGACCACGTGTCGTTCCCTAGAATTTCCYTTCTTTGTTTAACGGTTGCGCACGAGAAAACGCACGATTATGGATACAGCTCAAACAAAGAATCTTATTCTCGAGAGAATGACACCTGATCTGAAAAGGGAAAACATCTCACCCGAGCTAAAACAATCTATAAAAAAATATAAGCTTACTGGGAGAGTACTGTTGGAAATTTTAGCACGAAAAACTCGAAGAAGTCCTGCAAAAAGAAAAGGGTAGAAAAACGAGTGTTTGTGGGTAACAAATTCGAGGTCTACAGCTAGAAAAGAGTGGGCCGAGTTAGCATTGCAGTGCATCATGGGATCGTTTAAGGGGACACTATTTACCCACTGCAAATCCAACTCGACCCAGTCTTTTCCTCAACCTCAGAATGGCTAATAGTAGAACATCGAAACATACAAGTAACAGTATTTTAAGTATACTCGAGTATAGTTGGTTACCTCAGAGTTGACCAGTTGTCCTTGGTAATGCTCTACGTACTCGTAAAGAAATCGATTGAAATTTTCTCGTCCAACAATGTTGGCCAGATGGTTAAGAAGAAAGTAACCCTGTCACATTATATGGAATACTTGTAAGTATTATTACGATTAACACAGAATTGAAATATGGTGTCCAATCTGTAAGGAAATCGCACAATCTCGAGTACAATTCGGAATTTATAGGTACGAGTGATGTTTTGAAAGTTTTCAAAATTTGAGAACTTTCAAATYATCCCGAATATCTCTAAATACCGAATTGTACGAGAAGATTGTGCGATTTTTTGTTTATAATACACTCAACAAAATTGAGCAACTTAATTGGGACTCTACAGAGTACAATTTGGGATTTAATTGTATTCGTCTTGTTTAATCAGAATCAAGTAATTTTATTGAGTGTATTATAAGAATGCCTATTGTTCGGGACAGACTAGCCTCGTGTTCAAGTGGAAACATAAAATTGTTTTCAAACGTAAAAGAAACTAGTCAGACCAGAATAGTTATTCAAATTGGACACCATATTTCGATTTAGTATATACTCATTCTTATCACGTGGATGGATTATTGTCATTTACACTGCTTTTCAATAGGTCGCGCGGAATCGTCGTCGCGACRAAGTAAKTTGGGACTTTAAGATTTGCAAAATCTACGACGACGACGTCAACCGGAAGTGTAAATAATTTCTCTTTGGGGTTCGGTTCATTGGAGATTTTATTCAAGACATTGTCAGTAAAGTCAACTCATCTACAGGGAAGACAGACTTTGAAGGCGCGAAACCCCAAAGAGAAGTTATTTACACTTCCGGTAGACGTCGCCGTCGAAGATTTTGTAAATCTTAAAGTCCCYAGTTTGCTTTGGTGGACGTAAATCATGACATTCCATAGAACGTTCCCCTGAAAAACCTGACTTTTTCCGATGTCTTGAAAACCCATTCTAGATCTGCACCCTGAAAAACACAGCATAATTGATCAGTGGTAGTAAGAAATTCAAGCGTACTTTGAGGTAGTGAACTTGGGTCCATTTTTTGGAGCACTTGTACTGGATGATGCTAGATGGTTGGGGTTGATCCTCAGGGTTGCTCCTAGTAGGTTCTTCTGCCATTTCGACTGAAAGGATAAGATATTTACTTATTAATAATTAGGGATTATTATCACTTATTAATCATTAGGGATTGTTATCATTCATTAATCATTAGGAATTGTTATCACTTATTAATTATTAGGAATCGTTATCGCTCATAAAATCATTAGRGATTATTATCGCTTGTTAGCCTTTAAAATTAGATGTCTCATACTAACCGACGTTGAACTTGGTCATCTTTGGCCTAAAAAAGACACATTAAAGCATCAGTAAGAATAACTTGACATTAATATATAGCTTGTAGGAAAACAAGATAAACAGCCTCATTCGTCATTAACAATATTTTGCACCAACACGTGAGGGCAGCCATTTGGATGGCGGGACCAATACAATCATTTTCCATGAAAAGTAATTCCATTCTCCAGATAGTATCGTTCTGCCATTCAGCCCCGTAAAAAGGTCGCTAACAGACCATTACTGAATAATCGTTTGACTGATCAAGTAACTATGGTTTCAAGTCGAAGTTGGACTCGATGAATAAAAGTTTGAAAATCTGCCATTCATTTGTTTGACCAACTCACCTTAGACACTGCATGTTTCTATCTGTTTCTCTCATCTCTGAGGACAGGGTGCGATATCTTAAGATCTGTCGTATCTCACGGTATTGCCGATCTTGTTGCTCGAGCCACTAGTATCAGAAGATTCAGACAAGATTAATTCACATGTGTGATGATGTGATGATACATGAAGATGATGATACATGATGATGATACATGATGAT